GTGAATAGTTCGTGAGTGGTAAAGAGATCATCAGCAATGAAAAGGAAAAGTTTGTAGTCAGTGAGAGGTGGTGAGTGTTGAATAATTCGTAAGAGAAAACTAATTCGTGGGCGATGAAGAGCTCATGAGGCATGAATAGCCAGTTCGAAATGTTCGTGAATTGAAGAATTCCGCTAAGGTGAAGACTAACTACGTAAGTGGCGAAGAGTTGATAACCCATGAAGCATTATTGAGTAAAGAAGAGAAGAATTTAGCGGTGAGGAACTCGTAAGGGTAAAGGAAATCGTGAGCTGTGAAGCCCTCATTATAGTTTGTAACCAGTGAACAGTTCGCGAGCAGTAAAAACTACGTGAGGTGAAAAGCTCATGAACAGTAAAAAACTCGTGAGCGCACAGTACTCGATACAAGAATATACATGATTCTTAGGTACGGCTGAGAACCAAAAAAAGTTTAATTTACATACAGACTTCATATGAATAAAGGTATAAGATCCCTCAAATGTGCCTTTCCAATTTAAGAAGTCATAGTTGAAGAAGTCAAGCGAACCAAGGCGCAATCGTTTCGGAATCCAGATAACCGTCATCTACTGCATTGAAGTATGCTTAACCAAGGTCAATGAAAACATTTTTTACTCCATTCTGATCCTTTATGCCGTTTTAAAAAACTCAAAGCTCATACTTCAGTAACTTTGTCAAGCAGTGTACTACTTACAAAAAATAAAGGATTATCTTCTCTTAGCTTATTCTTATTTTTAGAGAATAATTCTTTAAACTTCATTCCAACGCTAATCTGCATTTGAGCCTCTAAAGTACTACTACATATCAATTGCTGAACTCCTCGCCAATAAAGCTCTTTCTCTACCTTTCGCTTTCAAATGTTTGCATTGTTTTTTTTTTAGCGCTGAATTTTTGAGTGTATGCTATATTTTAGTTTTTTTTTAGCTTTCAAGTTGGCGGTGGGTGGCAGTCAGCGATACTACTTTGCTTAAGCAATAGGTAAACAGTGTCTACTTAGTTGATATTCCTCCCCGTTTGCGTGCATTTTAAGCCAAGCTGTCAACACTTGTGTGCGCATAAAACAGAACAAAGCCAACCAGTATGAAAATAAAGTACTTAAATCAAGCAGCAGACATTGCCAGAGCAGCATTTGCACCCACAAGTGGAGTATCATTGCTGCGCGCTGCCCGCATTTATGCGTTGCAGCTCCATATCGCTGGCAAGTACTTCAAACACTTGCAACGAGGCTGCAGTGCTGCCTACATAACTATAGTATATTTGTTTATTAGATATTTGTTTCATGCTGCTTGTGTGCCCTCAACTTCCACTCCTTCCGCGACGACCGGCAGTGCACTTATTTGGCACTCCTTCAACTGCGCGTTCTTTCTTTGTGAATGAATGCTGCCAGTAAAGTTACTTTTATTAGGCCCTACACTTCCCTTTAGTGTTGTTATATCTGCTTTGTTACCTGCTTGCTCGATTTGTACTTGCCAACCTAATTTAGCGGTGGCTCTTCAGCTTCAGCACCTAGACGCTTCGCAGGCTTGCCCGGTTTACTTCACCCCAATGGGAGCGCACTTTACGAAAGCTCCAACTTGCTGTTGTACAAAGAGAAATTCTTAAATAGTCAGACGATTTAAGATTTTCATACTCAAAACAATACCGCCAACAATTCACAATGAAATGGAGGCTGAAGCAACTTGTGCTTTGTCGCTGTATATTCACCAGTTTCCAAGCGTTTTAGCTTTCCGCTGTGCCTCCGCTTGCTTCTAATATACTTACGCCGTCGTTTTATTTTACCGCTTCCAGCGAAAGTGTTCGTGCCACGCCCCCAGCAAACAATCAGCGAACACACAAGCGTCGACGCCGAAGCAAATCGATTCCCACATTTCACTGAATGACTTTTCTTGTTTTGTCATTGACGCTCGTGCCTCACTTCAGCCCACCACACTCCTCTAGCACTTCAGCTTTAACGAAATGCCGCCACAAAACTTTGATTTTTACGCTTTGACACCTTCATTACAGCCATTCATTGCAACAATATACAAACAAGTTAAATATAACAACGAAAAAAGCTTGGAGAAGCGAATAAAGCACTTATGAATATTAGCTAGAGCAGTCCGTTCTGTCCGCCGCCCCCCGCCCTCCGTCAACCGCTCTCACTCTCCGCCAACAATTCCCAGCATTACGCTTCACTTCATTTCAACTGACATGAGTCGGCGGTCGCGTGGTTGCGGCCTTTTCCCGTCTTCTCCCTGCGCGTACTCCCATCAGTCCGTGGGACCGTCAGACAGCCAGCGCTGAATCTACTTGCGATACCGGTTTAGTATCTTCAACGCTTTGTTCGCGTCTGTTTTGTTTGTTTTTCCTTAACTTTTGTTTACTCGCATATCATTCACCAACGTCCATCTGCTCAGTTCGGCTGCCGCGCGTTGCCGCTTCTTTACACACAGCTCGGTGAAGTTGCTTGACAACAAGCCATTCCACCTCCCTCCACTTCATTGGCCCAGTCGGGGCGAATTTGTGGTGGAGCAGAAAGCCAAAATCAAAACAAAAAGCTAAAAGTCACCGCATTCTGCTTGTTTGCACTGCGGTTTCCCACTTTTCATTGCTATTGTTGTGGTTGTCATTGTTGTTGTTGCTATTGTTAAGTTGGCTATATGCCTACCGGCATGCCAACACGACTGGCGGCATGAAATGCTGGCGTAGCGCTGCGGTCGACTATCCACAGAGAACGTTGCCTGCGGTCGCTGCTAAGTATTTTCTTATTTTTGTTGCTTTTATCATTTTTGTTTTGCTTCGGCCTGTTAGCTTTGGCCCTTAACATGGCCCTTTTCTGTTGCTATCTAGTCACTAAGAAAACGAGACTGAGCATAAAACCAAAAGGAGCGTATAAAGAGAAAAGGGGTGAGAGCGAAATGTGCAACGCGTGGGTGGCTAAATGCTTCTCTCTCACTACTTGAAAGGCCAACAGGAATTGGTAACATGAATACTTTACCGAATAAAGTAAACGTTCCGAAGTCAACCCAACGAACATTCAGAATGTGCGAACGTTAGCTGGCCCTACGATCGGTTTTTGGGATAGCCACAATGGTTGCTAAAATATTTTCTTACATTAGTCTTTTTTATAAAAGGGGTTGCTATTAACTTCTATAACCAACGCACGCAATTTAACTTGGTTGAGGAAAGGCACCACTCTCTCAGTGGAGCAGTCACGACCCAAACATGTTCGCTAAAGAAACTTTTTACGCCTCTCCGTATATTTTATATGGGCGTACATAGAGAGAACGTTGTCTCCCTGATCGTAGCTGTTACACCTGGATTTATTTAATTTGTTGCCATGTGCGCAATCCAGAAGAGACAGCGGTCAACAAATTAACAACAATTTACTGAGAGCTTTAACTGAAAGTCTACAAGTGGAGGGAGCTTTTTCTCTCATATAAAACCTATGTATAGCAGTGATGCTCAAAGAGAGCTTTTACTCTGTGCGCGTCTATATAAAAGAGCGACGGGCAGGCAGAGCTTTTACTTTGCACGCTCCTATACAAAATGTATAGAAAGCTTAAAAGAGCTTTGGCCGCGGGCAAGGCAGTGCACATCACTGATGTAAAATCGACAAAGAGCTTTGGAGAGTTCCGTCCGCGGGGAAGCTGTTACATCAGAGACCAATAGAGGGAGCTTTTTATCTCATATAAAATCTATAAAGAGCTATAAAAAGCTTCGGATGTGTTTTAGTCGTAACATATGTAGAATTGAAGGAACGTTTTCTAAAGCCTTTAGGATCACTTCTGTTATTATTTAAAACGAGTGGAAAGCTTTATAAAAGCTCATATTTTGTAATTATGTAATCATTTTTTATAGAATTCTTTCGTCTATGCAGTTTTTTCGTCGGTACATTTGTACTTTTTTTAATTTTTACTCAAAATTTTAATATTTGTTTTAGATTTTATTTTAAATTTTTTAAATTTTAATATATATTTATTTTTTCATTGAGTTTTATCAAACTCCCGCTCCGTCCCATTTCCACACTCCACATTTCGCTATCAGCTGTTGCTTGTCGCTCGTGTTGTTTGGTTTTTTTAAATAAATTTTGTTGTTGCAGCCGGCGTTTGACACGTTGTTGTTGCTGCTAACCGCTGTTGCGGTCGATATCTCCATCGCCGACGATGCCAGTGACGCGTTTTTTTATATGTTTTTGTGTTTCTTTTTTTATAAGCCATATCGACAAATATTGCTGTTGTCGTGATTGCGCTAACTGCTGACTTGAGTTGACTTTTCGCTTCGTTTTCGTCGCGTCGCGTCATTCTGTCGTTCTGCGGTCTTACCCGGTTGTTGTCACTGACGTCTTTGCTATTGTTGTTGTATGCTCAGAGTGCTGCTACTGTTGCCGTAGCCGTAGCCGTCGCCGCTTTTTGCCTGCCATTGCTTGCCTTGCTATTGCTTGCCTCACCACAATCAGTCTGTGGATGGATGTCGTCGCCGTCGTCTGACAATTTTTGGGTCTGCCAGAAAAAGCTCCTCAACGCGCGCACACACAGCCAAACAGACGCACACAAGTGCGCACGCCAACATATCGGCACACACTAGGCAACAAACACGCGCGTCTTTGTACGCTCTTCTCGGCTGCTCGTGTGCGGGTTTTACGTGAATTACTTACGTGCGTCCGTTGCCGTTCTGGTGCGGTGCTATCACTACACGTCAGTGTGTAAGTATACGAGCGTGAGGACACATACGTATGTTGAAAACGTTTTCCTGCGTTTACGTTAAAACCTACCGAATAAGCCGCGTAAGTGTCGAGAACAACGCGAGCAAATACAATAGGCGGGTGAAGAATATGTAGCTAGAAAGCGTACACGAAGAAGAACTTGAAGAAGAGCCACACATTAGCGTTATTATCTCTCGTGTGATTTGCACAACTAACCAAGCAACCAACCGGCGCACACCTCGCTCGCCACCAAAAGCGCTAACGCCAGCGACTGCGTCAGCGCCAGCAGCGCCCCCATCGACAGCGACAACGACACCATCGACTCCGACGAAGACGAAAAGGAAGTCTTGAGCTTCATTCGGTTGTGCGCCGTCGTGCGGTACGGACGTCGATTACGGTTTATTGGTAGTTGTTAGTTGGTATTTCGGGCACAGATGTCTCAAAGTTCAAAAACTGGCGAGGACTGCGTTGGCGCTTGGCATAATTTTTATTTTTTTGGAATTTCTGATTCAAATTGAATGGAAAGAAATATTAGCTGTTGAACAAAAATCCAACGGTCACGGTCACATCCGCTACACAGTTGTCCTGCCAAAGTCGGTGTGCACGTAGCCGGAATTAGTTGCGTTAATCCGCGTAGCTTTGTTGCGCACTGCCGCCTGGATTAAGGCTTTCGCAGGACACGCCGTCTCGTCAGGATACGAGCGCTTGCGTTTGTGTATTTGGTTTTTTGTTTTAATCCGCGTACGGGATGCGCGAATCGGACGTGCGACGCGAATCGGTGGGAGTGGGTGGAGTTGTGACAAATTTTTGTTTTTTAATTGTGCTGAAAAGTGGAAAGTGATTGGCTGGCTGAAATGGTTTAAAAGGAAGTGTGTTTTAGAAAAAAGTTTTCAAAGCAGCGAGTCTGTGCAAATTATTCTAAAGTGTGGAAGACGAATGTTGCTTTTAGACATCTTTGTTTTCCTTAAATAATTCCATTAAGTATTTGACTGAAATTTTTGGTTTTTTTTGTGAGCTATGACACGTAATTGGATGTTGAATTTAAATTAAAATATAAATTTATTTTATTCTAAGGTAATATTTTTTTTAAGTTGGCAGCCTTAAAAATCAGGTTTTAAATTTGCAAAAAAAAAATTAAGGAACCTAGATAATTATGATTTAAAAAGGTTTGAATTCTGATTTTTACTGATATTTTAAATGTGAAGAATTATGTTTTTAAAAAATATGAAAATCTTTTGACACAAAATTAATTTGTGAATTACTTTCATCATGTTTTTTAACAAAATAAAAACGTTATAATCCTGGCTAAAGATAACTAAAATGAATTTCAAAAAATATTTTTTTTTTTTTTTTAATTTCGAATTTGTTTTATGGAAAATTTTTTTTTAAATAGAAACATATTACCTAAAATGTTTTTGACAATTTCTAGAATGTGCACATTTATTTATCTCTTAATTCTATTTTGGGTTTATTTCTAGCTTGCGGTCATTCTAAAAAGCTATACAAATTTTTAAATAGTGATTTTCAAAATCTTAATATAAATATATACGTTAAAGCGGAGTAATTAAATTTCGAAAAACAGTGTTCTGCGTTTTCTTCATATTTAAGAAATTATTTCACAAACCGTTATGTCTGTAAAGCAAAGTGTTTTTTCGTTTTTGTTTTTAAAAGACATAAAAAAATTAATAAAAAAACTGAAAAAAAGTTACAAAAAAAAAATTTTAGTGATAACTTGTACGAAACAAGTCTTTCTTTTCCTCAGTAAGAAATTCAAAAGTAAAATTATTCCTAAAAAATATTTTGATTTGAATACAACATTAAAAAAAGTTTTCCACATAACATATAGTGCTTGTCATAGTTATACGACACCCACATATTGACAAGTTTTGACTATTTGTTTTTTTATTATTTATTTTTTTTTTTTAATATACATACATACATATGAGTTCACTCGATAAAAAATACCTCATATATACAGGTTTCAAACATTGCACAAAAAAAATATACAAAATTTAATAAAAATTTCACCCTTTTTATTCAGAAATTTTAGAAAATTTTTGGGTATGCCGGTCTGAATAAAAAATGTGTAATTTGAATCAAACTTTATTTGATTAATTAATTTAAAATTTTCGCAAAATTTTTCTACAAATTCTGAATAAAAGGTGATACACTTTATTTTTGTATCAAGTTTGAAGCTTGTATTCATAGGTTTTTTAAATAGAAAAATAATAATAAAAATTGTTCAATATGTGGGGGTCGCATAGTTATGTTAAGCACTGTATGTATGATTAAATGCTTATAAAATTAAATTAAATATATGTATTTATATTGTTTCATTAGTATTTTTAAAATCTAATTTAGAGGCGGAACTGAGTTAATGAAAAAAGGTATTATGTAGATTAAATAGAAAATTTTTAAAATTTGTTTTCCGTTTTTTTTATAATTTTATAAGCATATTTGAATGTTTATGCCTTTCATAGTACTTTTAAATTATAATTTAAAATGTTTTTCAGTTTTATGATTACTTTTTAAGTTTTAATCGAAAACTATGAAAAATTGCAAAATTTATGCTTAAAAAATTCCATTTATCATTTTGTTTTATTTCACATATTTCGCCGTTCGCGCTAATCAGATACAAGTCCTCCTGCATGCGAATATTTTTTATTTAGGTATTTCCCTTTCTTCTGCCTTTTGTTTCATTCTGAGTACCTTCGCTACAAAATGCTCCGATTTCAGCCAATTCGCCAAGCCAATCACGTGTGTCCGCACAATTCGTGGCAATGCATTTTATGTATATTTTTTCTGAGTTTTTTGTTTTGTTATATTTCGCTCATTTGCCTGCTTTGCATTGACTTGCCTTTGGTGCAGCAAAATCCCGCACATTTTCAATGTTTTTTGCTGAGCTCAAGCACAACAACCGATCCCCCATGCACCCGCACCGCTGCCGCTTGCACCGTCAAAAAAATAAAAAATCCGAACGACCGTAAAAAAGCAGAAATTTTAAATAAAACAAATAAAAATCGAACAACACGATTTTCGCGGCGTACGATCTGGCTGAAATGTTGAAAAGCGCTAAAGCAACGAAAAATCATATTTCAAAACACAAAGCAAAATAATTACAACGAAAAAGAAAACAAAAACCAAAAATACTAAACTTGTGCCTTTTCATTGTTGTTCTATGCTTGCAGTTCTTCACAAGTGCCATAAAGAAAACCAAATTAAATGATTTGTAAAAACGAAAATTAAATGTTTTACTATTTAAAAATTTAGTTTTTGCAGTCATAAATAAACAAAAAATCAGCAAAACCCAAGGAAAAAACTAGCAAAAGTTATTAGCACGTCGCGCCAACTTTTATTTATTGCAATTTTTAGTTTGCATAATAATTTTTTTGAATTTGTCAAAATTTCACTTGGCGCTGACATTAAATTTTCCAAGTGCAACAACACAGCGACGTACAACCTACCGCAGACAGACGACGGCGAGTGCCAAGATGGGGTCTCATGTACCCCAAAGCGGCGCATCCACGAGGCGAGCGCCATGGAATGCCTCGATGATCTTCAAAGTGGTGGCCATGCTGCTGATATTGCATGCCACATGCGGCACCGACCACACGGCAACAGCTAAGGTGAGTGACAGCGATATGTCGGACAATTGATTGAGTGACGATTTGCAACTGTTTTGTTTGTGACTAAGCCAAAAAAAAGTCGATTACTTGCAATCGAGTGCAAAACAGGAGTAGTTCATAAAGTTTTGGAAAAAGTTCAGGCGATAGCGGTAATTTCTGCATACCCATCTCAAAATTTATATTTTTTGTATTATGACACTATTGAAGTAAATGAGCGATATTTATGTAAAATTATCAGCTTCTATGCAAATTTTGCTCTATTTCATCAATGCTTGCATCATATTTATTTTCAGCGCATTCCGTTACACCGTTAGTATCTTTTTATTACATTCATGTGTACCTACATAGGTAATAGCTTGTTAGCCAGCGAACTAAAAAAATGAGTCACTGCAAGTTTCTGTACTCTGCGAGAAGTTCTCATGCGACAGTACTAGTTTTTTTTTTATTTTTCAAATTTATTTCCTATCAGCAAACAATAATATAAGATTTACTTACGACATTCCTGCCGCAGATAAGCAGTTGGCGATAGTTGATGGAGTAAGCGAGTTAATTTTAGAAAATTTGTCTAATAAATATTGGCTTACTAGAACAACCCAACGGCGCTGGCGATTGCAAACGCTGGGAGATATTTTGCCTTTTTAAATATTAAAAATACTGTACATACAGTGCTGTGCACTCACATATTGAGAAATACCAAAAACGAGTTTTGCCCAAATGAACATTTGGTAAAAGAGTTTTCTCTAAGAAGTTGTCTTTCTACACCCAGAAAAAAATTCAGCTAAATATATTTCTCTCAATTCATGATTTCGTTATAGTTACCATTTATTTGTGGCTTACTTTTTTCTGGGTGTCTTTTAAACTTAACTCAACCACAGCGCCGCGCAGTAGAAGAACAAAATATGGCAAAAAATACTTACCAATTGAGCTCCGATTTGCTGTAATTTGTTATTTGTGGCATTTTTGCATAGGAATCAAGAAATGTGAAAAATCGCACATTGGCAAACTGCCACGCCCACTGCACTAGGGGTTGCAAATAGTGAATGCATATCCGATTTTACTGCAAAAAACTTAAATCTGAAAGATGTTCAAAATCGGCCCACTGACATGTCCACCAGTCATAAAAATTCATTTTCAAAAAACCAAATTGTATTGAATTCAGCACAGCACCCACGTCAAGTGCCCGTTGAGTACTTTTGGTGGCCATTTCTGGTATTTTAGGCATGTCTAGGGTCTAGGAAACCACTTAGTTGGCTATTTCGAAACCTTTCGAAACTTGGACTTTCTGCCACTTTCGTACCACTGTGCGCCGCCTTAAATGGAATACCATTTCTACAAATATCTCGATCCCAGCATTATAGATAAGCGTTGAAAAGTCGACATTTTTCAAGTAAATTTCTTCGGATTTTGACTTAAATTCAAGGCCTATGAAAACTAAAATGTATTGTAAAGAATGCTGTGCAGAGTCGTTATAGCATCGGATTCCATTGAAGATCTTAAAAGTTTTTTTTTTAAATAAACTCCAAAAGTACCAGACTGTATGAGTTTCATTTAAAGAAATCTTTAGTGACTGGCGCGGTTTGGAAATGGAGATCATTGTGCCCTACATTTTTTTTACTACAATCTATTTAGGTTCTTTTGCAAAATACAAAAAAAAATGTACCGAAAAATTGATCAAGAAAGCAATGAAATTTTTTGTCAGCTCTCGGGGATCGAGTTTATGCCGGAAAAGAACCAGTGATCTCCTAAAGCTGCACACATTTGCAATGGTCGCATGTAAAATATACTCCAAAGTTTCGGACTACGCTTTTTTCCTGGCCCTGCCAAAGTACTAACAATTTTTTTAATTTTCCTGCTGATAGAAAGTAAAAGGTAAGCTCACGGCGGGCGTTCACTATTTCATGGAATTATTAAAACATATATCTTTAATTTAATCCCTTCCACGTGAAGATGAAAGACGGACAATTTTTAAATCTGCTTCTTAACGGATCTGGAAGCTATTGTATCACAAGAAGTAAAATTAAAAATCACACTTTAAGGATCTTTTGCACCATGGCTGGTTGACACTCACTGTGCGTTAAACATCGTAAATGAAGTGATTGATTCCATAGCAATTCCAAAATCTTATGATATATATTATGCTATTTTTACAACAACAACAACACAATGTTCAATACCTCAATACATATAGAGTTCTTAAAAATTCGAGTACGCCAAAGTAACGGCAATTTAAAGGATTTGTAATAGCAGAAACCAACAATAAACAATTTCAAAATATTGTTAACATAAAAAAAATTTTAATGGATTAATAATATTTTCTTTTTACAAAGGCCATACAATTTTATTACCTTGGTCTGCCAACCATCAGCTATGAAATGGGCATCAAAAATTTATGAAATTTGTTGCCAGCCAACTAAAATTATTTCACAGCGCTCGTGTAAAAATGAGTACATGCAAACTGTCTATGTGTTTAGTATTTATGTATGTATGTATATGTAAACAATTTTATTATAAGATAATCGAGTAATTAACACCTCCATGAAATTTTATTATTTACAAGCAAAAATCTATTTAAACATACTCATATACATACCTTAAAATATACCATTTATAGTTGGGGATTCAAAAAAATATTAGAAAAAAAAATCATAAAGAATCATTTGATAGCAAAGCAAACATGATTTTTTTAGTTTTAAATTGGTAAAAAAAGATTAAACATACAAGTACGGGGCGCCTACATACCGACTGCTGAGTGGAAGATCGACCTATCTCGGCAGCCAGTTCGAAAACGCTCTATCTCAAAAAACTTTTCAAGAACGCCCTATTTTAGAATTTTATTGAAAACACCCTATCTCAGAATTTGGTTGAAGAACGCCCTATCTCCCTTCAAAATGTATTGAAAATGTGCTGATATAGCGCGTTTTTGAATCGGCAGCTGAGATAGGGCAGTTTTGAAACGAATTTTGATATAGGGCGTTCTTCAAACAAATTCTGAAATAGGGCGTTCTTTAAAAGTTTTTTGAGATAGGTCGATTTTCCACTCAGCAGTCGATACATACTTGAATAGTATGCAAAGCAGAAATTGCAATACACCTAGAACGTACATACATATCTTTGAATCCGTTTATTTTTCCTTCTAATTGAATAACATTTCCGTTACATATTGGGATTAACCACGCCATTGTCTATGAAAAAATCAAACTTATTTCTATTTTTTCAAGGACGTGTTGTTCCACTTTTCGAATGCCGTAACACCGGATCTGCTAATCTCATAAATCATATTTCACATCCCCGAAAAAACAGAAGGCACAAAAATTTAAGAAATTTAAAAAATACAAGATTATACTAAATTTAATCGCTTCTTTAGGTTAGCAACTGCAACAATAAACAAATCTGAATAAATGAGTTCAATAATAAAAGTTCAAGCTCGGAAAAAAATATATTGGGCCAGGTTATCAGTGCCGGTGAAGCCAAGACAGAAGGCAGCCGAAGAGACATTTGAAGGCAAAACGGGCATAAATTAAAAAAATTTATAAAATTAAATTAAATGACAAAACATTTCAAACACTCTGCGAACACCTACACGAGCATAACTTAACACACACACACACACTTACAGGCGTTGTGAACGGCGTTGTAAAAGCTTTAGGTTAGCCAATTTAGCAAATAGCAAATTATGCTGCTGGCGCTGACTGCGACTTTTTTGGTCGACGTTGGCTGGCAGCGCGGTCTCTGCTAACGCCAATTGCCGCCAGAATTTCGCGTACGACCGGCTCTTCGGCAACGACAGATAATGCACGCACACTAACGCAACTTGCCTGTGTGGCTTGGCGTCTTATCAGCGCGACAATGGCAAAGCCGTGCAGGCAGATGAGCCAATTTAATCGCCCAGAAAAATCGGTGTCAGAAAATGAATGAAGAATTGTTTTTTTTTTTGCAAGACATTTTGGCCTATTAAAATGGCAGTCTTTGTATTGAAAAGTGTGTGCTGATAGTGTCTAAATTGGCGCCAATGTGCTAAAAGCGGATTTGGAAGTTCACAGCTTAAAAAATTTAGTATTTAAACTAAAAATAGAGCGGATTTCGGCCTAGGGTTATCTGTGTGCGCTAAGCAACTCAAGTTTGGCAATTAAAGCCAGGAAGTTCATTTCATTTCGTTTATTGAAATTTTTTTTCAGAATTTTGTTCTAAAAGTTTTAAATATTCGCCTCCTAGCAAAAAAAAACAAACAATTTTCCAAAGTTCAGTCCAAGAGCGAACTCTGAAACTGCTTTCCTTGACGCTCTTCAAGCAATCCTTCTCCATCTCTTTTGCGCGCCATGTCGATCCTACTCTTCACAACCTATTTAAATATGTTTGTAGGCATCCAGGCTTGCACTTCTCGTCTGTAGATTACCGCTATTGCAGCTATTTTGCTTTAGTGTTGTTGTTGTGGTAGTTTTTTTTTTCTTCATTGCACTTTTAGTTGTTGCCTGGTAGTCAAAGTCATTTATCAAATCGGAAGTTGTGTAAAGAGGTCAGCATATTCGTGCGCTAATCTGTGTTGCTCTCCTTTTTATTTTTATTTAATTAAAGATTTATTATTATTATTATTATTTTTGTTGTTGTGTAATATTTGTCATTGGATTGAGCGTGTGTGTGTGATGTGGGTCCGTTTCTCAAGTCAGTGTTATCACTGGTTCGTGGTGAGTTGTTGGCATTAAGTTAAAGTTCAGACTGAAGTTGTTGTTGTTTTTTTATTTCAAAAGTATATATGGTACTTGTGGAATTGTATACTTTCCGAGCGCTAAAAAATTTTGAATTGAAAAATTTTGGAAGTTAAGAATATTTTTTTTTTTTGGTTTTTAGGGAGAATTTCGAAATTTCTCTGGTTCGAAACAAAATTTTTAAAGTAAAATTTTAGAGAAATTTTTTTAGTTCAAGCAATGAAATTTTCTTTTTTTTGAATTTTTTTGGTAAAGTTAATTTTCCCCAAGTTGTTTTTGAAAAATACATTTTCAAAA